CTGCCAATAGTTGTCATAATAGAGATGGTTTGCATATATTTGTGGTTTTAAGAGACTTGTAATTTTCCCAGAATGACTCAGCCTTGAGAGTGCAATTCATCAAATATCTTTTACTCTTTTGCATATTAAACTGATGCCAATCCATTCAAGATCCACGATACAGCTGCGATTGCATTGCTTTCATGATGTCATGTTCACAAATTTGTCATAAAACCTGTTTCCCTCTTTTCGGCTGGGTAGGCCGATTGAAGGAGTTTTTAGTCCTTCTTTAATTGAGTGCGGGGTGTGCCACCATCAAGCCACGAATTAGGCTTGAATGGAATGTGAGTAAATGATGCGTCCGAAATCTGACTTTAACCAAATGATTATTCAGCCGAGCAAGGAACCTCCTCACGGGCTAGGTTCTTTCACTACCTCGGAGTCAAGGCTTTATATGAGCAACCAAATGATGTGGAGTGGGTGAAGATGAAGATTGAAGGTGAAATGTAATGAAGCGAAGAACACGTGCGTAAAGTAAAAGGTGCTTGAATTTAAATATAATTGAAAGATAAGTGGGGAAAGTAAAGTGCGTAAAATAAAGAATGTAAAGACGAGTGCGTAATGTAAATTGCGTAAATTAAATGATTGAAATGCGAGTGCGTAAAGTAAAGGGCGAAAAAGTAAACTAGATTATGAAGAACAGTAAAGATAACATGAACTGAAGTTATTGTAATTAAAATAGAATTGAAAAACAAGAACAATAATGTAAAGACATAATTGAAATCTACGGAAAATAGAGCAGAAAAAATAGGAACTAGGCTATGACTACATTATGCTACTCCTAGGATAGAAATTGAAGAGAATGTAAAATGACAAGTTGTGTGTTGTGTCGAGGGTTCTTTCTCTCTTCCATAAACTTGGTATTTATAGGGGTTTCGATGCGTCTCAATTTGGCCGGTTGTCAATTGCCTTTAAATCAATCATAATTGTTCCAAAATGTCTTAAATCCCTTGTCTCATACATGTGATTTAATGTGAATAATAATATTTGATTTGATTTTCCTTCCAACTTGAGCTCTCCTACTATAACTTTGATTGACCACCAAGTTGGCATTATTCCTTCTATATTTGAATAGTAACATATAAGAAAATCCTCCTACGAATTATCTCTCCCCTTATTCAGTTTTGGCTGATTTTATGTATTCGGTTGCTTTTAAGTTATTCGATCGTATCTTCACTTTCAGCTGCATATAGGCTCTTGACCACTTTTGTGCTCTTGGCCATATTAATGTGTTTGGCCAGATTGATGTATTCCAACACATGTAGATATTTTACCACATTTATGATTGGGCTTCTATTCGACCTTATTGATTAGGCCCACTGAAATATAGCTTAGGCTTACTATTAGCTTAATTGTCGGATCTCGGGTTTGACTCGGTCAAATTTCAACCAGGCCCAAACAAAACCATTATGGAACCATCAATGTCGGCGAATCACGAAGACATTAATACAATGGTCTAGGATTTGGTGGTTTCCTTCTACAAAATGCACTTTATGTAGTGCATGAGTGGGCCTGGAAACTAGCTATGATCCAACCACAAACATTGTGGTCTATGGATATCCCTTTCTCTTTCGCAATTATTTATGTACGATTGATTAGTAGTTCTTTTTGTTTATAATCAGTTGTATAAAATTATGTGTCAATGGCTCTTATTTTATAATTTCTATTAATATTACAAAATTTAGGGTCTGAAACCGAATTTTAAGTCGCAAACACATGGCACAAGGAATTAATTATGCTTTATATTTCAAATAAAACATCATGAAAGAAAGAGTCTTGTGATGCAGAGAACTCAAGCTTTTGTTGGCATGCTTTTTCCAAAATCATGCCATGTGACACATGGAAGAAGCAACTCAACTCGGTTTGTTCGAGTAATCCACTGACGTGTACATATAGTGAGTTGTATACAATGTGGCCTAAGGAAAAGGACATCACTTAAATTGCTACACACACCATAGAAACCAAGCATAGAATAGAAAGAAAAAAAAAGGAAAAAAAAAGCAATAGCTTATAAGAAAGTTTGTGGTTGGTTGGATTTTGTGATTGATCGGCAAGAGACTTATAGCTCAAGTGATTAATAGTATTTATCTTTGTATTGCACCCGAGGTCCTAGATTCAATTTTCCTCTACCTATATATTACTTGTATTATAAAAAAAAGTGTTCATGGTCGTACACCTAGCACAAGAAGATGATGATCATGTTGTTGTTGTAGGTTATGATGCATTTATGTGACAATTGGCTGTAACGTTTCCAATATGTTGGTCATGTGAGGAAACATGAAGTGTTGAGCTGGACTTGTTCTGGTTATTATGGCCTTCTTTCATAGAGTATGATTGAGCACTGAACTTTTAAACCCACCAAAACTTTATCATCATAAATTAGTGGCATCAAATCACAAATGTCAATATATGTTGCCATTTTGTTCTACAACATGATCCTACCAAAAATCTAGATGTCACTTATAACACTTTTGAGTTGAGCCCTTGAGAAATTATACGCAATATTGCATTGATGATGTTACCAATCAAAAGGAGATCCTAAGCGTAGCTATGGAGTTCAAGTTGAAAAATTGGGCACAACAAAGCACTGTGTACCAGCAATGGATCACAATTCGCTCCATCCTATTTATCTATCTATCCATTAGCTTAGTGGGCTTCTATTTCACATACATAAAGTTTGATCTCTACACTCGAATAACATAAACTATTATGACAATTATACTCCTCTTTAAGACGTTCTAAAATACATTGAGCTAGCAAATGTTGTACTTTTCAAATTAGGGGTTCTTAGATCTAGGTCCAAAACGATTAGCTATCATTGGGTCTAGTCCTCGTATTTTTGGTTTTAGATGTAGGTCCTTTGACATTTATTACTTTTTTTTGGTGTCGATTTTACCCTTTAAGGTAAATAAGAAAAACACATTGAAAATCTAAATTTAATGCATTATTTCCTTGAAATTGAATTCCAAATTTTGAATTTTGAATTTTTTTTCCTTGATAATATTCCTAATATATAGATAAAATAAAATTTAATCAATAAAAAGTAAAGACTCACATATTATACAAATCGATCAGACAAGCACCCACATTAAATTATGTACCTAACATACAGGTAAATAATGTTAATACATAAAGGTATATATGTACCTGCCTTATAGGTAAGTGTTTTTTTCTTGAGTTTTCTTAAGCAGTTTTTCTGGAGGTTCATATTTATATACATACGTACATGTCTTCCATGGATTTTTATCTCAGTTGAGTTTAAAGATCCATACCAAGATATTATATGAGTTCAATTAGCTGGCCTATAAGGTATAACTACCTAGACTAGAGGTAATTTATGGATTTAATTACCTGGATTAGAGGTAATTTATGGGTTTAATTACCTGCATACTGCATACGAGGTGTATGCATAGGTACCTTACCTATTGTTAAGTTATGAAGTTTTTATGAACTCTTATTACAATTTTGATGTCGGTGAAAATTTCAGAATTCAATAAATAGATTTGCAATTAAATTCAAATCAAATATGATAATTAATATCCTACAAATCAATAACTTACCAGTTTTAGGAATTCATAATTTACCTTATTTATGTTTTAGGTGCATAACTGGAACAAAAAATAAAAAATAAAAAAAAGTAAATTAACTTACATTCATTTCACTTTATTTAATATGATGATGATTTCATTAATCATTAAGTGTTATCGAAAGAGAAAGGGACTAAAAAAAAAAAAGAAAAAAAAAAAAAAAAAAAAAATATCCGCATGAAAATAAAATATCAAATGGGAATCAAGAAATGTCTTCGTATTAAAGAAAAAAACACAAACAAATTTATTCGTAATTGCCTTTTCAAATTCTTTTGGTACACGGAGGGAGAACAGTATGGTTCTTATTGGGCTGTGCTCATTAGGGGGAATTGATCCAAGTAGGGGGATTCACCGGTACCTTGTTTATGGGTCTGGTCGGGTCCAAACATGGATAGTGAAGAAATGACGTGTCATCATTGGGATCCACATCCTTTGTCCCAATCGCTTCTCTCTCTGTAAAATCCAAAACCCAAAAGGAGAGAGTCTGACTCCGAAACGACGGCGTATGACAGCTTTTCTCATGTCCACGGGCACGCTTTAATTTTTGCCACTTTTTATTTTTTTAAACCAAAGTCATTATAGCCAGAAAATACATAAAAGGAGGATGAGGATGACATGAACTTATCTTGCAACTCAAAAACACCACTGGGGAGAGCTTTTCCGCAAACAGTCTCGGCTCGGAGTGGTTGCACACTTTGCCACCTTTCTTTTCTTCAAAAAAAAAAAAAAAAAAAAAAAAATGCACCCCACCCTTCTCATTGGCCTCAGCCACAAGTATAAAATAAAAATAATAAAAATAAATTTAAATTTAAGTATAAACATTCATAACCGCTTAATCTACAAACTTACGATTAAGAATGAAGCCATTCCAACTTGAAGCAGAAATCCACTTAATGTAAAATTTAATACTGCTGACTTTTAACAATTATACTTGAATTCAATGAAGAATATTACATGGCTTACATGGGGCGTGACAAACCTCAGCCAAAAAGCTTGGCCACGGAGAGGGCGAAGGGTTAAAACAAGAAAGACATATCTAATCCTAACAAATTCAAAAGCATCCTTAGCCACAACACAAGTCTTGCAAAGACATTTTTATCATCTTGGGCATCGTCAGCCACAAGTCTTGCAAAGCTCAAATAAAATGAAATTTTGAATTTAGAAATCTGGGCATACAAAGCCCTCTGCTTTATCATCTCGGCATCTTTGCCATACAACAGACATATTCCACACTTTCCACCTCCAACTCCCTCCTCTCGTCCGATAAAATAAAAAACTCCCCCCTCTCCTCATAGCCATCATAACTCTGTACGGTGAAGTCAACATTGACCTCAGTAACAAGTTTGTAAAACGCAGTGGGGCTTTCAGCTCCCTCTACAACTTCTTCAATGACTTGACATCACAAACATTTTTGAAGAAAAGCTCCATGATTCCACCTCCTATGATGATCAACTGGACACATGTGCCCCCTGATTGGTACATTACTGGGAAGATAGTGAGCAACTTCCCTAATTTTAAACCTGAATAAAACAAAGAGAACAAATTTAGTTCATACAGTGCTAGCCATTTCTGAAAGGTGTTTGGTTCCGAGGAAGAATTCTTGTACTAACCGAAGGCTGTTACTGCAAGGTGGAGGTATCTGCTATATCGAATTCCAGATTCGGATTCGTGTAGATGGACGAGAAGCCATGTGGTGTAGAGCTGCCATGTAAATGCTAGTGACAAACATATGATTCCCCATGCCCTGCAACCATTGAAAGTTGTTATGCAAATTAGAACAAGGACCAGGAATATTTTTGAGTTATAAACACATTTGCTAGTTTAGCTCCTATTGGTCTATAGTTTGTATTCATGAGAATATTTGATATAAAATCATTGCATATGCTTTTAAAAGACCAGGTGAGGTGAGTATTCAACCATTTTATGATCATCAGCCTAAACTTGTTCCAAGATTTTAGGGGCAGACAGGTTTCGCATGGAGCAGTAACTAACTACCTTAGTTCAAGAAGAAATCAAGAAACAGAGCAGAGATGTTTCATGTGCAAATTATATTTTTGCCCATTTCTTGAGGAAACAATATATAGTATATCGAGTCCATGTGGAATTGTAATTAACGGTGCATAAATTAAAGTTATATTATACCGAGAAATCTCTCAAATAAGCTTATTTGATGGACGACTTATGAGACTTATGCCGTCTATTTCAAACCCTCTATTAAGAAATAAATTTGAGAAAAAGAAAGTTGTCAAGCAAAATAAGAAGGAAAAAAATAAAACATAAAAGAAAGTTGACTTGGAAGTACACCTAGGTCCTTCCAGGAATCTCTTCTTCTTTTTCTCTTTTGTTTTTGTTTCTGTTTCGTTTCTTATCAAAGAAGTATGGTAAATCTTCGGAGCATAAACTCTCAGCACCAACAACACCAGCTCCTGGTTTTAATGGTTTTAAACCATCAAAAACACAAATGCTGATGAACCCCTTTCCTCGTTATTTCTTCAAACAAACAGTACAGGCTAGGTTAGGTAAAAAAGTAAAAGTTTTTAATCTAGATAAGTAATATTACTTACCATCCAAGAGTGGCAAATGCAAGAGGCAATAAAAGGGCTTGAATTCCAATTCCTGAAGAGATCAAATGGAAGGTAGCAGAAATGGTATTCCCATTCCTGGACTCTGTGATAGGCAGCCAAGCATCCTGTGGATTGAGCTCTCCACATCCCCAATCTGCACCATCTTCTTCCCTTGTGGGAGGAGGACTGGTTGTGATGGGAATGACTTGAGCATATATATAGGTGGGGTGCTTCCAAACAAGCCAAAATAGATGCTGACAAGGTGGATTCGATGGGTCAATTCTACTTTTGTGATGAGGAGTTTTAGGTAAATATACAAAGACTTGATTAAAATAATATAAATTTTCTTTTGAACGCTATTATTTTAGTTCTAAATATATCGTATCATATCATACAGTTATATTTCTTTTGAGAAAATAATATATCAAAAGCACATATCAGTGGGGTGTGATGTCCATGACTGTAAAGTGTCTCGTGTCTTGTTTACAAGCATATAAAATCAAATCGTCATACGCAACCACAAATTGATATATGCCCAAAAAAAACCACCTCTTCTTTTTTTTTTTTTTTTTTTTTGTTTGGGTGGGTAAATATTACGAGGTATTCTTACACTCAAAGGGTGAGATTAATTCTCACTCGAGATTCGGTTTGTCCTTAACCACAATATTACGAGGTTTCTCACACCAAAGGGTATGATTAATTCCCGCTCGAATTCAACTATCTCTGATCACAAAGTGCTTCCAATGAATTTCAAACCCCTGCCAACTCATTTAACACATAGTAAGTGATCAAATGATTTTATTGTTGAAATTAAACGTTCTGGAAATTCTAAATCAGACGTGTTTCACCTACCTAAACTACGAAGAAAAAATGTTTGTGAACCTGTCTCGTAATGCTTTTGTCTTCTATATTTTCATTCGTGTATTATGTCATCTGAAGAAAGAGACAAACGCGTAAATATTATGACACCATTTCATAAAAGTCAGAAAAGTTTACTGAAGATTTCTTCTCCTTATAACCAGGACGCGCTTTTGTCTGCAAAGGTTGAAAACTCGAACGTCGTTGATGAAGCATGCCTCAAGGTGACCAGGTTTGCGACATCATCATAGTGACGTCATGATTGTGACGCACAATAGGGAACAAGACTAGCATTGGTGCGATGGACATGGACCACGGTATCTCACATTTCTTTTTTGCAATTTTTCTTCTGTTTTTGCATATTTAAAGGTATTTCATTTGCCTTTTTTTCTTTTTTACCTTACTTTTGTTTGAAATATTGGTGCGATTCGAGGATCTCAATAATGTAATATAATATTGGATAAAGTCAATTATAAGATATATTCATGATTCACATCTTGAATTTCATGATTTTTACAATATTATAAGACGGAAATGGAATAAGATATCTTTATAATTAGCCTCTAAATAATATTTATAAAACTAATTAAATCATTTATTTACTTCATAAGTCACATCATTTATAAATAGTGACTTATTTGTAAGAATATTTTATACATATGCTTACAAATAAGTCATTATTTTTACTTGATTGCATAGACTTCTTATGAGTCGCACAAGAAGGAAAATAGAGAAAATAATAATGATAAAAGAAATAGATAGAAAAAGTGAAAGTTTATTGGGATTCCAATTAGGCGACCATAAAGAAACTTCTGTTAAGTATTAATTCTTAACTAATTGTTGTCCTAAAGGTGATTAGACACTAAGACACGTACCCTCTCGACATTGTCCTCCACATGAATGAACCAAAGTATGAACTATTACATAACCCTTGTCAAATTTAGTGCGAAAACAACACCATCTGGTGCCCTGCTTTTTCCAACAAATTCAGCAAGTGGGCATCAATGGAGATCGATCTTTTTTCCAATATATCTCTCTACTTGAAAATATCTTTGCAATAAACTATGAGAAATTATATACACGTACTAAATATGAATGGTAACAAAAACCACTGAGATGGTGTGTTTGATGTGATACTCAATGAGCTACGATGACTTTTCGACTGCTGTATACTTGTAGGCGTCTGTATTGAGCACAAGTATTTTCTCTCATGGATAGTCTATTCACATTTCCACACTTATGTGCGGGGATGAATGGCCGGCCTACCCCATTTGTTTAGACTTCCCACACCAGAGATTAAAATCTTGACACTGACATCTCATATATTATACTTCTGTCAATTTTATTAACACTAAGTAACAATATATTCCATCTGCCAATAGTTGTCTAATATTTGTGGTTTTAAGAGGCTTGTAATTTTCCCAGAATGACTCAGCCTTGAGAGTTCAATTCAGCAAATATCTTTTACTCTTCTGCATATAAAATTGATGCCAATCCATTCAAGATCCACGATACAGCTGCGACTGCATTGCTTTCATGATGCCATGTTCACAAATTTGTCATAAAACCATTATGGAACCATCAATGTTGGCGAATGACGGAGACATTAATACAATGGTCTAAGATTTGGTGGTTTCCTTCTACAAAATGCAGTTTATGTAGTGCATGAGCGGGCCTGGAAACTAGCTATAATCCAACCACAAACATTGTAGTCTATAGATATCCCTTTCTCTCTCGTAATTATTTATGTATGATTGATTAGTAGTTCTTTTTGTTTATAACCGGTTGTATACAATTATGTGTCTATCGCTCTATCTTGTAATTTCTATTAATAACGACCACAACTAGAAAGTTAGAACAACTTATTTCACTAGGAATATTACAGAATTTAGGGTCCGAGACCGAATTTTAAGTCACAGACGCGTGGCACAATGAATTAATTATGCTTTATATTTCAAATAAAACATGATGAGAGAAAGAGGCTTGTGATGCAGAGAACTCAAGCTTTTGTTGGTATGCTTTTCCAAACGCAAGCCATGTGAACATGAAAGAAGCAACTCTTCTCAGTGCGAGTAATCCACGGATGTGTACGTATAGTGAGTTGTATACAATGTGGCCTAAGGAAAAGGACATCACTTAAATTGCTACACAACACACCAAAGAAACCAAGCATAGAAAAATAGAAAGAAGCTTATATGAAAGTTTGCGGTCCTGATCGGTAAGTTTCTTGAAGCTCAAGTGGTTAATAGTATCTACCTCTGTACTGTATCCGAAGTCCTAAGCTCAATTTTCTCTTTCTCATACATTACTTGTATTAAAAATAATAATAATAATAAAAAGAGAGTTTGTGGTCGTAAGCGTACACCTAGCACAAGAAGATGATGAATGATCATGTTGTTGCTGTAGGGTATGATGCATTATGTGACTATTGGCATTAACATTTCCAATATGTCGGTCATGTGGAGGAAACATGAAGTGGTGAGCTGGACTTGTTCTGGTTAATATGCCCTTCTTTCAAAGAATATGATTGAGCACTGAACTTTTTAACCCACCAAAACTTTATCATCGTAAATTAGTAGCATCAAATCACAAATGTCAATATATGTTGCTATTTTGTTCCACAACATGATCCTACCAAAAATCTAGATGTCACTTATAACACTTTTAAGTTGAGCCCTTGATAAATTACACACAATATTGCTATGTTGTTACCAATCAGAAGGAGATCCTAGGCCTAGCTATGGAGTTCAAGTTGGAAAATTGAGCACAACAAAGCACTGTGTACCAGGAATGGATCGCAATTCGCTCCATCCTATTTATCTATCCATTAGCTTAGTGGGCTTCTATTTCACATCCATAAAGTTTGATCTCTACACCCGAATAACACAAAACCATTATGACAATTATACTCCTCTTAAAGATGTTCTAAAATACTTGAGCTAGCAAATGTTGTACTTTTCAAATTATGATACGAGAGTGTGGAGATAAAACTTCTGAGTATGCGGGGGCAGAAATTTCAAGTTTTTTGAACATGACCCGTTTAATAAGTGGATTATATAGGTATTTTGGCGAATTGACTCTCGGTAGTAAGTAAAAGTATTTTTATCAGCTAATTTCCCGGGTTCCGGGTTATGAATTTAATTTTTTTAGATTTATGTATTATGTAGATTAAATTACATTCATTTAACTTTATTTAATATGATGATGATGTTCATTACTCATCGTAGTGGGTAAAAGTATTATCTAAAAAAACATGGGCTTAGAGAAAGAAAAAAATTTGGTCGAGTTCAAATTTGTTTGCAATTGCCTTTTCAAATTCTTTTGGTACGCGGGAGGGAGAACAGTATGGCTTATTGGGCTGTGCTCAATAGGGGAATTGCTCCAAGTAGGGAGGATTGACAGGAACCCTGTTTATGTTCCGGTCGGGTCCAAACACTGACATTGAAGAAAAGACGTGGCATCATTCAGATCTACATCCATTGTCTCAATCGCTTCTTTCTCTGTAAAGCCAAAAGGAGAGTCCGACTCCGAAACAACGGCGTATCACAGCTTTTCTCATGTCCACTGGGCACGCTTTCATTTTTGCCACTGTTATTTTAAAAAACCAAAGTCATGATAGCGAGAAAATACATAAAAGGAGGATGAGGCTGACATGAACTTATCTTGCAACTCAAAAGCACCTTGGGCATCCTCAGTCACAAGTCTTCCAAACACTTCAAATAAAAACAATAAATAATAATAATATTAATAAATTGAACTTAAAATAAACATTCATAACCGCTTGATCTACAAAGTCTCTCCTTTATGATCTCAGCATCTTTTGCCATACAACAAACATATCCCACACTTTTTCACCATTACTAGTTTTGAAGTTGTACGTGCATCCAATCTTCATATTTCATGGAGCATTGACAACAACAAGAGATTGAGCGAAACCCAAGAAATCTGTGCTATACCAACCACGAGAAAGCTCAATCTTTATTGAACATCCCTCACTTTTATGGATGAACCAATTAGGAATTCATTCCCAGAACATCTAATGGCACCGAAAGAATCCTGTACAATTGATATCATAGCTATTAAAGTCGTGAAAAAAAGGAGCAACTTCTTCAACATAAGTGAGTTAGACAGACAGTGTGTGCGAGAGAGAGAGAGAGAGAGAGAGAGAGAGAGAGAGAGAGAGAGAGGAGAGAGAGAGAGAGAGAGAGAGAGAGCTCAAAAAATCATCATAGAAATGATATGAACCATATACTTGTTTCTTTTTTTTTCTTTTTATAACTTTGACGACGCAGTTGCCATTCACATAATTGAGTCGTACATCAGCCATTATGTTGCTTCGTGCATTATGATCCAACCTTGGGCAATCAGAAAATATAACTTTCAACACTCGAGATAATATATATTCTTTCCAACCTGGTGTGAGTGCCGTGCTTGAACTTGACACTGTCTTCAGTGACGTGCAACCATGTGCTTCAAGACATTGCAGCAATTGGGGAGCTCTGGTAAAGATTCAAGGCTCTTGCAACCGATGAGGCACAGGTAAGACAACCGAGCAGCTTGTTTGATGCTTGCAGGTAACTCTTAATTTTGGTGCAACTCAGATTTAGCTTTTGTAACGAGGTTATGCAAAAGAGGTCATCAGGGATAACCTCAAGGTTCTTGCACTTGTGGAGATCTAATTCTTGAAGCGCAACTAGATTTCCAATTGATGGGGGTAGCTCTTTAACTGCTGTACCTGTTAAATTTAGAAACTTTAGATGTTCCATAGCCTCCGAGATTTCCGGGAAGTTTTGAAATTTGGAGCACAAACTGAGATCAAGGCTCTTTAGAGATTTCAACTTCCAAATGTTTGTTGGGAGACTCACAAGGTTTTTGCAATTAATCAGTGTAATTGCAGTGATACCAACGACAAACTCTATTGATGTATTCCTCAATTCTCTTATTGATATATTCGACAATTTTAGCACTGTTGTATTCCTGGGAAGCTCCCACAACTCGCAAAGAGAATAGCAGCCACGTAGACTAAGCAAACTCGAGAGTTTCAGCTTACAAGTGTTGCTTGGAAGACTCGTAAGGTGTTCACAATATCTAATATCTAAGTGTGATATTTTTTTGTGAGACCAAACTGATGAAGGTAATTCCTCTATTGATGTCCGAGATAAATTTAAGAATTCAAGACTGCATGGCATCTCGGGAAGATTTTTGAGATTTTTGCAGCCCCCAAGGTTAAGATAAGTAAGGTTGCCAAGATGTTGAAAATACGAAGGAATTTCAACCAAACATTCACAGCCAAACAGATCTATATGCTTAATTTTTACACTCCGAGAGAGATATGGGACTTCAATTAGATGTTCGCATTCACGAAGACTGATCCATTTTAAGTTCAAAGGAGTCTGTAACAAATTAAACAAGAATTAATAACTTAGCTTGTAGATTATTACTTTCTAGGGCACATGTTATACAAGAACTAAAATAATCATGTATACCTGGTCTTTAGTCCAAAGTTGCGCCCCAACCTGGCTGGACGGCAGATGAAGCTCAACAAGATTTACAGGAGAAAATTTTGATGGTAAAGATTTTGAAGGATATTTGTGCCAGTGAAGATAACTAAGAGAATTGGGAAGATCAAGAGGAACCATTAATGTGCACTCCTTGGAAAACTTAGAATGCCAGACATGTAGCCATCTCAGTTGACACATCTTTTCAAAGTTTGCATGATTCAAGTTTCGCTTTTCAATCTTAGAACAGTTAAAGGATATGGCTGGAACAGTTGCAGCTATCTGATAATCGAGAGAAAAGTATAAAGGTGAACTAATATACAAAATGTTTAATCAAAATTACATTTGTAACTTGTTTATTGTAAATGTGAATATAACATAAATTACGTACCTGGTTATTTGTCAATACTTGATAGACATCCTCTGCACTGAACAACCTACTGCGTTTTCCGGGTTCTTCAATACATTGTTCGCGAACAATTGCCCTACCCATTTCTTGCACCAAATCATGCATCTCTATGGACTTGCGTTTTGAAATTGATATGAGAGACCTATCAATGAGAACTTTGATTCCGATTTCCCCATAGAAACCATGACTATCTAATAACACTTTTACATAATTTGAGTTATTGCCTTTATGAAAACATGCTATATCAAGAAATATCTCCTTCTCATTTTCTTCTAATCCATCGTAACTTACTCTCAACACTTTATTGATTTCTTCGCTTGGAAATCGTTTCAATTTGTTCATTTGATCTTTCCACTCTTGTTTTCTCTTGCAACCAAGGAATAAGGACCCCATAACTTTAAGAGCTAAGGGAACGCCCTTACTATAATCTATCACCTTTCTTGAAAACTTATTATAATCTTTTGTTGGAGACTTATTTCTCAAAGCATGGGAATGAAAAAGCTGAAGAGCTTCATCCGACCGTAATCCCTCAACCTTGTATATCTTATCATTGTCAACTTTTTGCTCAAGTACTCCTTTATCTCTAGCAGTTATAATGATTCGACTTCCGTCGCGAAACCGATCATGGTCACCAACAAGAACTTCTAGTTGGTTTGAAGCATTCACATCATCAAGAACAATGAGCGCCTTTGTACGCATGAGCCTATCTCGAATAGAAGTTGGTCCTATAGACAGAGTGCCGATGTTTATATCTTTATCCTTTAATATCTCACGAACAAGTTCATTTTGCAACTGATTTAATCCACCCGCCGTTTGTTCTGATTTCTCCCTAACATTTGCAAGAAAACAAGCAGCTTCAAATTTAGAGGCAAGCCTGTTAAATACAGCAGTAGCAAGGGTGGTCTTGCCAATACCACCCATGCCCCAAATACCCATACAGCAAACACCTGGTGAATCCAAGCATAATAACGACTCAATTTTCTCAATTTTGCTTTCAATTCCAACTAGGCCTCTTAAATCATTTGACGATTCATGATTCAATTTGGTCAAAACATCTTGAACAACTTTCTCAACAAAATCGGCCTCTGTCCTCCTGTCAAATATCATTATGAAAGACAAACAATAGTAAGTACGCATCAAATGATATTAACAAGTAGAAACTGATACAAGATAGAGATTTAGTATACCTTGTTTTGCTTGAATCATGAAACCCATAAATATTGGCTGCTTCCTCCAAAGCAGCCTTCCAGTTGGCCACCTCATCCCTACTGCCCTTAAAACGTTTCTTAAGTGCATAAGTTCCCTGCTGTTTTCGTACATCTGATGGATCTATGCGATAAAAAATGGGTATAACAATCTGTCCATGGCTTTTCTTGCATCCAAGTATATGCACAAGTTCTTTCAAACACCATGTGGAAGAAGCATAGTCTTTTGAGAAAATGACTAGTGCAATTTTCGATTTCTCGATTGCTTCTACAAGGGTAGGTCTAATGTCGTCTCCTTTCTCAAGTCTGTTATCTATGTAGGTCTCAATGTTCTTCCGACGCAAAGCCGCGTGAAGATGGCTAGTAAAAGTATCACGTGTGTCCTCACCTCTGAAACTAATAAACACATCATACTTTTCTTGAAGATGGGGGATATCAGTATCAGCAGCAGCAGCAGCAGAAGAAGAAGTAGATGTTAATGATCTGAAGTAGATGTAGAACAGAGTCATGATGAGTATGATGATTATGATGAAAACTTGAAAGAACTCAATGGAGTCCATATCTGTTTCTCTGAATGCACTAGAGCTATAATTAAAGTAAATCTGATATTTGAGATGACAACTTGAAGAAGAAAGATAATATGATATTGTAGATGATGGATGGGTTTAATTAAGTTGCACCTGAGGATCCAATTAAGCAGTTTCGAAAGAAAGAGAATATAAAGCAATTGCTCTAATTGTTACCAAAGAAAAAGAGAAAAGCAATTGTTCTAGTTGACGTGACTTGACTAAGAAAAAGAAGGAAATTCGATCCACGAAAAAGAAGGAAATTCGAGCACTCATACACTGAAGAAAGGAAAAGGCACATGGTAGTGGCAGCACAAATACACTGAAGAAAGGAAAGGGCACAAATACCCTAAATCCTGGGAGTGGCAGCACAATGGACCCACTTCGATCCATTTTCCATGGCAAAGGGCAAGGGCAAGGCAATGACTGTTATTATTTGCTAAAATATGAATATGGTTTGAATGTATTAAGTTGAATTACATTCTTCTCCATAAGGAGGTATATATAGGAGGTTACATGAGTGCTTTACAAGTAAATAGATACAGTAATCAATTAGGATAATATCTCTTAATTATACAAAGATTTGTCAACTAAATAAAATGGGAAAGTAAATCCCTTAATTAATCAAGGAAATAAATTTCCTTGATTAATTAGGAGACTCACGTCAACACTCCTCCTCAAGTTGGTGCATATATGTCACCAATGTCCAACTTGGTAAGTGAGTCATGAAATACTCTGCCACAAACAGTTTTTGTTAAGATATCTGCCAATTAATCTTCTGATTTTACGAATGGTAGGCGGATGATCTTCTTCTCAATCTTCTCTTTGATAAAATGTGTCTATCCACTTCAACATGTTTGATTCGATCATGTTGAACTGGATTATGGGCAATGTCAATGGCTGACTTGTTATCACAATGTAACTCCATTGGTTTTCCTGGCTTGAAACCCAATTGTCAATAGTCTTCTGATCCACAGTAGTTCACAAACTCCGTGAGCCATTCCTCGATACTCTGCTTTTGCACTAGACCGAGAAACCACATTTTGTTTTTTACTTCTCCAAGTGACTAGATTACCTCCCACGAAGGTAAAGTAACCCTCCAGTTGGCCACCTCATCCTTACTGCTCTTAAGTGGACGATCTTCAAGTGCATAAGTTCCCTGTTGTTTTCGTACATGTGATGGATCTATGCGATAAAAAATGGGTATAACAATTTGTTTATTTCTTTTCTTGCATCCTAGTATATGCACAAATTCTTTCAAACACCATGTGGAAGAAGCACAGTCTTTTGAGAAAATGACTAGTGCAAGTTTCGATTTCTCGGTTGCTTCTAGAAGGGTAGGTCCAATGTCATTTCCTTTCTCAAGTCTGTTATCTATGTAAGTGTCAATGTTCTTCCCAAGTAAAGCCTTGTGAAGATGGCTGGTAAAAGCATCGTGTGTGTTCGGACCTCTGAAACTAAGAAACACATCGTACTTTTCTTGAAGAGGGGGGATATCAGTATCAACAGCAGCAACAGAAGAAGTAGTGGAGTCCATATCTGTTTCTCTGAACGCACCAGGAGCTAAAATTAAAGCAATCTGATACTTGAGATGAAAACTTGAAGAAGAAAGATAATCTGATATTGTAGGTGATGGACCTGAGGGTTTAATTATGCAGTTTAGAAAGAAGGAGAATAGAAAGCAGTTGCTTTACAAAACAATTGCTACAAAACGATCCAGGAAAAAGACAAGTGAAATAATTAGGCAAGCACTGTACATGAACAAAAATTCAAGCGTTCATTCACTGAAGAAAGGAAAGGGCAAATGGGACCCACCTTACACGCTTTACCTACAAACTTTTGCTTTTGAAGATAAAAAAGCACAAACGATGGAGAAAAATCAATACTATTCCTCCCGCGTGAAGTGTGCCCCATGAAAGCAAAAAAGAAAAAGAAATCCATATTGAATATCCGCATTATAATCAAATGTCGAAAGGGAATCAACAAATTTATTTGCCTGATTAAAAAAGAAAAAACAAATTTATTAATAGAAAAAAAAAAAAAAAAAAAAAAAAAAAAAACAAAAAAAAAATCCTTTCTAATTTTTTTGGTACTTGGGAGAACTGAAGGCTTATTGGGTTTTACTCGGAAGTCGGGCCAACCCAATACTGGAATTATTCCAAGTTGGATTCATGGGAACCTTGTTTATGGGTCGGGTCGGGTCCAAACACTGTTAGTGAAAATCCTAATCCACTTTGGAGAAGCATGTGGCATACTTCTCTCTCTGTAAACGAATGGGACGACAATTAACTTAATCGAGCTCCAATGCAAGATGTTGATTTGTGTGGAATTTAGGAGAGTGGAGGGAGCTCAGGTTGAGTTTGTGGAGCACAAGGAAATCGGATTGTTCCATGGTTGCACCAATGCCGCGGATAACTTGCAAGTAAACTATATTAGATATTATTAATTTCATTTCTGCCTCTTTTTTTTTTCCCTTCTATCTAATCTAATTACTAAGCATCTCCAGCAGACTCCCTATCCTTTTATCCTTAGCTACTTTGGCTAAAAATAAGGAAAATCCTCCTTTCAACATACTCCCTACTTGGCTCTTCATTTTGAAGAACCAACTTTTGGCTCTCTACATCTAGCAAAGATAGAAAAAAAAAAGGCAGGGGGGGGGGGGGGGGGGGGGGGGGGAAGAGATTTGGAAGGTTGGTAGGGTTGGATTTCTATTTTTCTTTTTAATATATTTGATTTGCAAGAGAAAGAGGAAGAAAAAGAAAGAGAAAATAATAATAAAATATTTCAAATTAGCAAAAATAGAGAACATTGCTTTACATACAAACCTTCGCTTTTGAGTTGGAATTTGTCGGGGAGGTTTCCGTACACAATGACCAACAACACTAATTCTCTATGGGAAGAAGCTTCGAAGAAAACCAAATCCTAATGCAAGGAAATTTTCTAGTGGTAGACTTCTAGTCTTCCACCGTCAAATGTGCTCCATGTTAGAGTTTTGAATAGGTTGAGAGAGAAGAAAGAATACAGAGACAAGAGAGAGCTGAGAATGAATCAATTCGTGTGTATTTTTCTATTGTACTGTTCTGTCAAAATAAAGCCAGCTCTATGTGAGCTAAAAGGCTGTTAGAAAGAATAGCTGGATTCTCTTACATCATTGAGAATCACAGCCTTACATCCAAACTGCTCTCTAGGATTTTATACGTGGCTATAACCACTTAACATGTCTAATGCCTAACACTTGTCTAATTTAGAGACTAAGTGAATACACCATTTAGCTTAAAGGCCTAATTACATTCTTATCAGCTCACCACTTATATTTCAACACTCCCCTTTAAGTTGTGAGCTGATTTCACACCAAGTTTCTCTCTGAGATAGCAGAAACGATCCTTAGCCAAAGCCTTTGTAAAGATATCTGCCAATTGCTCATTTGTGGGACAATAAATCAGATCCACAGTTCCTTCTTGCAAAGCATCTTTAATAAAATGATACCTCCGATCAATATGCTTGGTTTTCTGATGGAAAACAGGATTCCTTGTAATGGCAATAGCTGAAATGTTGTCACAGTGGAGAGGTGTAGCTTCTGTTTGAAGTTCTCCAAAGTCTTCTAGGACAAATCTCAACCAAATAGCTTGTGTTGTTGCTTCAGAGGCACTGATGTATTCAGCTTCTGTAGTAGAGAGTGCAACACAATTTTGCTTGACTGAGGCCCAAGCAAACACTCCACTCCCAAAAGAAAAAGCGTATCCAAATGTGCTCTTGCTATCATCCACTGAGCCACTCCAATCGCTGTCACAATAGCCAATTAGAACTGCCCCTTTTCCTTTCACATACTCCAGACCATAATCCAAGGTTCCTTTTACATATCTAAGGACACATTTTGCTGTTCCAAGGTGTTTGCTAGTGGGACAATGCATAAACCTTGCAAGCAAACTAGCTGCAAACATAATGTCGGGTCTAGTAGCTGTGAGATACAGCAGACTCCCAACAATCCTTCTATATTGCTCTTCACTTGCCAAACCACTCCCATCATCCTTACTTAGTTTCTCCGAGGTAACTAGTGGAATAGGCACCGGTTTACACTCACTCAAACCAAATCTGTTTAACAGAGTTGTTGCATATTTCTTCTGATGAATGAATATGCTTGTTGGTGTTTGAATGACTCCCATTCCCAAGAAGTGA